ACATATATGCTCACTTGCGTTTTTTATTAAATATAGAAATTTTAAAAATAAAAGTATTACTATTTTCCAAATTACCTTTAAAAAGAATTTGTTTACATTTGGAAACAAATATGTAACATTTAATATTTATTCATTAATATTAAATTAATTAAATATTAATAACTATTTTATTAAGTATTTATAAAAGAATACATTTAAAAATACGGAACAATCTTAAACTCATTCAACATTTTAATTTAATAAAATATATTTTAATATATTTTAATATGTTATTATACTCGTATATTCATCACTTACATGTTTAATAATTACACTGTATTTATTTTCTGGAATGAATTATGTAAATACAATAAATAAAAATGTGTATATTTAAAAAGTCAAGAATTAAACAAGTATTAAACATAAAAAGGTCAAGTATTAAATTAGATAGCGTGAAAAATTTTCCCGTCAGTAACATTTTAGACTCTAATTTTTATAAAAAAAGTCTATATCCACTTTTTATGAATGCTCGCATTGCATCGGATAGATGGCTAACGTATCACATTACGTATAAATTTGCATAGCTAAATATCTAACAGAGAAATATTAATAAATTTATTAAATATTTACAGTAATTTTTAATAACATATTATTATAAAATTTGTGAACATAAAATATTAATATTGATTAAATAATTGTGCAAAATAGAAAAAATATAAATACAAAGAAAGTTCTGAAAAATGCCAATAAAGGACATTATATCCCATTAAAAAACTTATTACATAAGATATATAAATATTTACAAACGCATATAAATGTGATGTATTAGCCATCTGATGTAAGTACCTATGTAATATGGCTACTTATATAAAATGATATCTGTATGATACGGGTACTCGTCTCAATTGATTTTCACTCTTCAGTTGAGCTACGCTTTCAAAACATATTTACAATTACCAAAACTCTATAGTTGATGTCATGTAAATAGTTTTGGTTACTGTAGTTACGTCTTGGAATACAGGTCTGTGTGTAAGAAACATATCAGGAGACACGCGCGCGCGCGCGCATTGCCTCGGCGCGCGCTAAGCAAGCGCATTTTATATACATGGATGCGCCTTTCCCGTTCGATAGAAAGAAACAGTAAATGCATTGCATCTTCTATCCTTCGTTGTAACAAATAACCAAATATACGACGCGCATGCTCAAAATGACATGAGAAATGATCAACAATAAATAGATTAGAATTAACGAAATCTTAAAAAATTGATAAGACGATGTGAGCTATGTGTATATTGGAGAAAGAATAGCAATTTTTCCTTTTATTCGTAAATACATAATGAACGATTTTGATTTAAAATGTAATAATAAAACATAATGAAAATGTATACATATTTATACGATACGCTCGAGTTTGCACAGTAGTATTGTTCTCCTAAAAAGAGATAGGAATACTCTCTCGCTCTATTAACTCGGTTCTCTGATTATAGCTACAAGACGTATCTATCCTGAACAGCACAAAATATTGATAGTAAATATTTATTACTATAAAGCTTTATTTAAAATATTAAAATACATATATAGACTAAATATTTTATGTAATATTTTTGATAATAGAAATAAATATTTATAGTAACTATTTTTTATTTGGATTGTAATATCTTATTAAGTATTTTCGTAGCATTTATTACAACATTTACAATAAATATTTAATAATATTTATAATAAATGTTTATGATCTGTGCAATCTAAGATCACAAAAATATTTACAAAATATTTGAAATAAGGCTTATAAATATTTATAAATATTTTATAAATTTTTAAGTGTTGTCTGGGATATATATAAAATGTACAATAACGAGAATGTCAGAGAACAAGTGATTCAATTAATATTACCCGATTCTTTTTGAAGCATTATATAACTTTTCATAATCTTTACAGGCAAATTTTGCTACCAAAATGCGTATTATTGAAGTGCACATTACCTTTTATTAATATTTGATTTTCGCCTGCTTAATCGCCTGCCTGATGTTCGATAATGACCTGTATTGCGACGTGTGTGACACTTTATTTTATTGTACGCTGTAATTGTATGCACATCTTTCACAATAGCAGCGAAAGCTGATTGAATCTCACTATATGTATCCATAATTATGAGTAAGGGGTGTTGTGAAATACACACTTTCTGATAGATTCTGGCCATAAAAGAGATGGGAGTGAAAATGAAGAAGGAAGTTCTTCGATTTGTTTATTTTTGTCTTTTGATTGTAATCTAGTTGCGGGGCGTGTTCTATCGTGGTTAGTTTGTTCGCTATCTAGTTCAGAGAATTCTTCGATATTGAAAGTGGGATCTGATTTCCGGCGGCGTTTCCTGTGTATGACAAGAATTGAGCATTTATTGGAATTTACGGGGTTTCTGGAGAGCGCGTCCGCGTTATTGTTACATTTCTAATCTTCTTTATATTTCTAATCTTAACTCTACGCATAAATCTATATATTTAATTCTAATCTCTTTTTTCTTTTGCTTTCACTTTTCTATCACGCTAATTCTATTTCTCATATTAATACTATTCTTACCCTATCTATCTATTTGTGACATCGTCGATCCGGGATGAAGCCGGTGCGTAGCCTCCGGTTTCAATGTCAAGCTTAAATTATGCTGTAACATGTCTATAAGAAAATCTGACAAGTAAAACTCGAAAATCGTAAAAGTAAGGTTCGTGTATAGCATACTTTCGTACTGCAAGCATAGTTCAATCATTATTTCTCAGTATACATTGAAGGAAGATAGAATAATGTTTCCAATATGAAAGCGTGCGACATAAGTTGAAAATAGCTTTCATTACAATTTATCAGGTGTATATGTTATGTTCCTAAAAGAGATGTATTATATATAATATATATATATATATCTATATCTCGAATATATCAATATTGTAAGTACTTGTTCGCGATTCTAAGCAGTTGTAATAGGAATTGACATATTTATGAAATAAATACATGAATAACATGTTTTAATGAAGTAAAATTTTCATTCTAAGAAAGTATGTACAGAGAAATTGTATTGTTGCGTGCGTGCGTGTGTACGGGCAAAGTCTGTAAGTGGGCAATGTCAACACTACCCATTTGTGGACTTTGTCCGTTACACATACACACACACGCGCGCGCGCGCGCACACACGTCTCTTATATTATCCATTATATAATGTTATTCCTTATAAAAAAATTAACTGAACAGACTTGAATCTTTTTTCCTACAATACTAAATAATTAAAGTATAATAATAACTGACAATGAGTAAAAGTAATCCAATCAGCGCCGTTCTTTAGATGATAACACTAAAGGGAATTGTACAATAAACTGTAAACGCCTCGTCATCAATTGCAAAGTTTCGCGACAACCGAATTAGAGGCATCGATAATAATTAATTATTGATACTTCTGTTTGTCGCGAAGCATTACAATTGGTGACGAGGTGTTAGAAAGTCATTGTAGAACGTCCATTAGGGTGCATTCCGGTATTCACCTGCTAGTGCTAAAAATCTATCATGCATGTGATGTATACTAGACATTTTCAACATTGGCAATGAATATCGAAACGCAGTCTAATAAGTGTTTTACAACATCTGTGTAAAAACAACGCTAATGAGATTAGCTTTACTTAGCAATTACTACTTCTCATTGAGAATTATAAAAAAAATGATTCCGAATTCTTTAATTCATTTTTTGATAAGGAAGAACATTATGTAATTAGTGAGCACTATATGAGAAACAAAAATATACATTCATGTATACAAATTTTAAATATAATTTATATACATTATATGTATATAAAATATGTAATTTGTAGGGTCATTATGGATTATTGTAATGGTGGAAATAAATGTGACATTGCGATATTGTTAAAAATAACTTTAAAAATTGTTTTCTATTCAAATATATTGGAATGTCACATTTATCCCCACTTTCACAATAACCTGTAATGACCCTACAAATAAGTCTATATTGTATCATACTCCACAAAGCAGGAAATAATGAAAGAAAGAAAAGAGACACGGACAGGCACAGAGAGGAGGGCAAGTAGAGAGAGCATGAGAAACGAAGAGAGAGGGAGAAGTTGAGAGAGAAGGACGGAAAACAGAGAGAGGGATATAGAGAGAAAGAAAAGTCAAAGAAGAGACAAAGAAAATCTAAAAGAAAAAAAGAAAGAAAATGACAGAAGAATGGGACAAAAAGAAAGAGATACGAGAAAAGAAAACGAAAGAAAAGAACAAGAAAAAAGAGACACGAGAAAGGAAAGGTTCGTATCTTCTGGTTACAAAATTTGATTGTTTATTAATGTTAAGAATCAAAATAAAATCATTTTGATTCTGTGTTGACTTTTATGTGTTCCTTTATGTATCATTCTGTATATTATTTATGGTATATTGTAACACAACAACATGCTATGAATAATTTTATAGGTCGATGGATGAACAAATGTCCGTAAGCGAAGAAGAAGAAGAGACGGACAAGGAAGAAGGAAAGAGAATAGAAAGAAAAAAAGGAGGAAGACATTTAAAAGAGAGAAACAAAATGTAAGTTCTATTTGTGAGTGACAATTTTAAAGATTCGACATTATTCTTATCTTATAAAATATTTATTTCATTTATTGCTTTTTTGTGTAGATATTATTCATCAAGAGGAAATGTAGGAGAAAGATGGAAAGCAACAAGACGAAGAGGAGCAGGACGGAGAGGAGCAGGACAGAGAGAGACAGAATGGAGAGGAATAGGACGAAGAGAAATGGAACGAAGAGCACAATGGAGAGGAACTCAACGGAGAGGAGGAAGGTGGAGAGGCGGATACAATAGGATGGATCCGATATCCAAATATGGCAGTCCTATATTTTATTTTGTTTATAATTAATACTTCATTTTTTAAATATAATTTTACTATTAATGTATAACTTTGATACAAATTAATAAATTTATAATAAAATAATAAAGTAATAATAAAAGTGATAATAAAAAAATATAACAAATAAATACAATATATATAT